AGCTACTAGTTCTTCATTTCATGGGCAACAGGTGGCACTAGAAACCACATAATCTCTACCTTTCTGTCTTTCTTTCTTTTCTTTTTTTTTTTTTTTCAGTTTTTGGCCAGGGCTAGGTTTGAACCTGCCACCTCTGGGATGTGGTGCTGGTGCCCTACTCCTTGAGCCATAGGCACCGCCCATCTTTACTTTTCTAAACCCTGCCAGTTTTGACCAAGAGCCCTAAAGCAGCCAAGGTTTGTCACTTAAACCATACTCTTACCAACACCCTCAAAATCCCTTGTCCACTCTTCCTTCAATTACACTCCCTCCCTCAGCCTAACTCTACTCCCATGCTTTCTCTGCATGGGAATTGTTGCTGAAGAAGGGCCCCAGACATGAAATTTGGGGTACCCAAGAACTCAGGATTAGGCTTTCTGCACAGTCCTGGCCCAACAAGATTCAGTTTCTGCTCTAATTTTCCTTAAGAATTATTTCAAATGTCAAAAACCCTTTCTTGTTAAGTGATGTGCTCCACCCACACAAGTGCCACGCGTGGGGGCTTGCACTGTGGCAATAAAGCAGTGGGGCCTGGGTTTGTGAGATGCAAACCAGAGCAACAGGTTTAGAATGGCAAGAAGATGCCTAAGTAGAATTAATATAGTAGGTACAGGAATACAGAGCCTGAAGTGACCATGAGAATGTAAGTCCCCCTATGTCTCACAGAGTCCCTGAAAAGGTATTCATTGTACTTCCTTAGATTACATGTAGAGATTTGATCTATCTTATTTTGATCTGAAGGGGGAAGGAGAGACTGGTGGATGGTTGACCTCTGGAAAGCACACAGATCTGTATGTCTTTCCTCTGTCTATAAATCTTTATCTTAATACACAGGGAGTAAAGTTCAGACATCCAAGAGTTAGTAATATGTGCATAAACATAAGATTTTTCACCCAAGGATACATGAATTCTGCTTTAGCCCTGCTATCTGTAAGTATCTTGAAGAGAAAGATGAAGAATGGTCAATGGCATTTTACAATCTAGGCACATATGCCTGGTAATGTAGAAAGTTCTGGTGAAATTGATTGAGCATATGACCATTGCTTAAAGACAGGCTGGACCTCTTCCTCTCCCTAAGCCCAAAATTACCACTAGCCACGTCCAGAGACTCAAGGAGAAGGAGTATGCAGTGCACACCTAGAGGAAAAGGGAGAGGCAGGTGGGCAGCACCTGGGGCAGCTTACTTCAGGGAGGCAAGAAGCAGAATAGAATATGAATAAGAGGTCCAGGCCACATTGGGATGGGGCTGAAAGGGGGGCAAATTTTGGCTCAGTTCCTCCCCCCAGCGTAGCATCAGAGAGTAAGCCACTGGGGTCTCTTAACACATTGTGAGCCTGCCTTTGAGTAAACAAGGCCCAAACAGTCCCTAGAAATACAAGTTAAGAAGATGAAGATTCTCTCCCTCTCTGGGAGGGAGATAGGATGGATGGGGTGGAAACTCCTTCCTTTTTACTTAACATGGTGTTCAAGGCCCTCTCATAATTTGGTCCCCACTCAATATCTCTAGTCCTGTCTCTCAACTGTCTCCCCATAGTAGCCCAGCTTGTCAATATACAAGCTGCACCTTTCCACATTTCCTTGGCTCACACTATCTTTTCTTCTTGAAATTCCCCTTAAGGCTCGGCGCCTGTGGCTCAAGTGGCTAAGGCGCCAGCCACATACACCTAAGGTGGCAGGTTCGAATCCCCAGCCCGGGCCCACCAAACAACAATGATGGCTGCAACCAAAAAATAGCTGGGCGTTGTGGCGGGCGCCTGTAGTCCCAGCTACTTGGGAGGCTGAGGCAGGAGACTCGCTTGAGCCCAGGAGTTGGAGGTTGCTGTGAGCGTGATGCCATAGCACTCTACCCAGGGGGATAGCTTGAGGCTCCGTCTCAAAAAAATAAAAAAGAAATTCCCCTTAAAATTTAGCTCAAAAGTCATGTCATCTTTGAAGCCTTCTTTGTTTTTTCCTGAGACATTTGTTTTTTTAGCTTATTATGATGTTATTTCTGAACCTGGCTTCCCCATGACACTGAACTTTATGAGGACAGGAGCCATGTGTGTATTTTTCATTCTTGAGCCTGGCATTTGGTTGTTGATAAACATTTTTTTACGAAATGTATGATAAAGACTGGAAGGCGTTGGAATTGGGGGCTCCCTTGCCAATATGTATCCATTTGAGCCCCTTGAGAGATCTCTTAATAGAAGTTAGCCTTCTGCGACTCATAGATTTCAGTAACAAAGGAAAAAATAGAAAAGAAAAAAGAAGTTGGTTTCCGAGACAAAAAAGGAAGAACAAAGTCAGTAAATATTACATGAGTGAAGTGGGAACTACACCTACATGGCTATTGATCTCAAACACTAAAAGCTAAATTAAGAGGAATTTTGTTTGCTTATTGGTTAATTAATGTATTAATCTGCTAGGTCTGCTGTAATAAAGTACCACAAACTGGGGGCTTAAATGGCAGAAATGTATTGTCTCATACTTCTGAAGGGTGGAAGTCTGAAATCAAGGTTGGTTTGTTCCTTCTGAGGAATTCCATAGAAGGATCTGTTCCAGGGCTCTCTCCTGGACTTGGAAATGTCTATGGAGATTGTCTCCATATAGTAATAGTACTACCCTTCTTGACAAGTCTGTATCTGTGCCCATGTTTCTCCTTTTTACCAGGACACTACATGGTGGATTAGCACCCACACTGATGACCTCATCTCAACTAATTAAATCTACAGCAACTCTATTTTCAAATAGTTACATGCTGAGGTACCAGGGGTTATACTTCAACATATGAATTTTAAGGGGACACAGTCCAATTTGTAACAGAACCACTGAGGGTGAATTCAGTTAAGTACTCTTGTATAGAACCAGCTTTCACAAAATAAGTTAGAGCAAGAACTCTGCAAATGCAATGAAATATTTTATTGAAGCAAACAAATAATGAAAATAATTTCTGAGAAATTCCTTCTATTCATTTATTGTATTGGTTCTTTATACTGTTTTTGGAATGAATAAACTGTATAACCATTAACTATTAGAGAGTATTTATCTCTAAGATAGTCAATCCTGGGGAATTGTTGTTTCTAATCTGAGTGATTTTGCAATAGCAATTCATTTATCTAGGTCTGTATTTTCTTACCTCTAAAGTGAGAATATTGAACTAGATAGTCTCTGTTTCAAAAATCTGTTTATAATTCTTTGAAGTCTTTTCTTTATAATCTAATGGGGGAGATGAGACAACTATTTGAAAATGTGTGAAGAATGTTTGCTACATAATGCAATTATGATGTCCTTAAGATGCCCTTAAGATGTCCAATGTATGTAGTTATTTGTGTGTGTAACTATTTATTACAGCATGTAACTATTTGAAAATACAGTTGCTTCAGATTTAATTAGTTGAGAGAAATCATCATTCCAGCTTATATTGTTACTCCCCCCATCCTTTCATTTTCTTGTTGTAAATATGTGGAAAACCTACTAGTCCGTTGTTAATCACTGACTTGTCCTGCTTTTCATCGTTTGGATTTTCTTGTCTACAACGTAAACTAACCATCCTGGTGCCTGAACAATGTCAGCCACATAATAGATGCCCAATAAATATTTAATGAAAGAATGAATGGAGCCAAGATGTGACATGGTATTGGAAAATGTATATAGTTTGGACTGGACTTGTCAGGTGTCTCTGAGACCCTTAAGATGTCCAGTTGATCTGGTCCAGTTACTCAGCAGAACTAGCAAGTTTGGCCGAGTTAAAATGAAAGTAAGGTTAAAAGGAGTGGAAATAAAGCAGCCAGGACACCAATAGAGAAGGAAAAAAAGCACAATTTATATGAAATGAAGCATAGACTTTCCCAGGTTGGGAAAGGGTCCCCCTCCCAACTGACTCACAGACAATACACCAGTTTAAATATCTCCTCTTGACATTCCCTATAATTCTCTACAAAGATTTTTCACTGGTTTCCCAAAATACTTGAGTAATCTTATCTATTTATTGATTCCAAGTTACCTTAACTGCCATATGTGCCCATTTTCCTTTACCTCTCTCAACGATTGCTACCTGCTATTTTCAAGTATTGTATGGCAACCCTATTGTGGTCACTGTTCTGTAACCTGTAACTATTTATTCTGCAACCTGTTATTTTCTGTAACCCATTATTCTACTTTATTACTATATTTTATAAGAAACTCTAATCATACTTAACTGAGTTACAAAGTTTCCGAAACTCATTGTTTGCTGCAAGGCCTTTTCTTTCAACTATCTTGTGTGAAGGTCAAAAAGGCCAGACTTTTTCTCCTACTTCCATGTAGACACCCTTTGTGATTAGATGGAGGGAACAAGATCTTTTCATTCCCAAGGTGTCTACACTGGCTGGGGAATTCCGTGTTCAGGAGTGCATGCGTTCACACTATATCAACCCTCAGTCATAGAGTGCCTTATGCCCGCTTTAGGATAAGAATGGCTTTGGAATTTCTCTTAGTAAAAATCATTACACAACAGTGCAAAGATTCATCTTTGAAAGCCACATGGTCCTAACTGTACTCTCCAATTTCCTGCTCCCATAATATTTTAAGTAGACTGTGATACTAGGTCTCATCTGATAGAATAACCAGCCACTGGAGCTTTGTGTTGTGACTAACCCAGGGCTTTATTTCACGGGAGTGGGAGGGGAGGCTCAAAGAGGTCACTCCAAGACCCAGAGTGTGCCCAGACTGGCGTAAACTCGTGGCATAACCTAGGGCGAAGCAGACATAAAATCTAGGACACTTAAGTGGCCAGCCACATTGACCGCTGCAAGGCGAGCTCAGCTATCGAGAACCCTCTCTCAGTGGAGACTCAGATGGTCAGGGACGCCTGCCGGGGTTGGGATGGGCCGGGGGATTGGCCGCAGCGCACCCTCAGGACGGCTTCCGGGTGGGCCGGCGGGGCCGCACTGCGCAGCCGCGGGGGAGGGCGCGCCGGCGGAAGCGCGCGGGCGGTAAGCAGAAGAGGATGAGCGCGGCGGGGCGGGGCGGGCGCCGCTGGGCGCGAGTGTCCCGCTGCACCACCTTCAGCGCGAGCCACCGGCTGTACAGGTAGGGTGAGTCCCACGTGTCAAGGGGGAAGCGGGCGCCAGTCTGCCCAGGAACATTCTGGGGCCGGGGGCGGGGCGGGGCCTGAGGTAGGCGCTTCCCAGAGTCGGGGCTTCGCGGGGGGCGGGCGAGCACCCCTGTGGCCGCCGGAGTTGGCGGAGCCGTGGAGGGGGCCGGTGGCAGGTGGAGGTTCGCGTCGCAGACTCGCAGGGCGGCGACCCTGGGGCCGGAGCCCACACCCGCTCGGTGACCGGAAGCACCTGCGGCCCCTCACCCGACTCCCAACCTCACAGAACAAATCCCCTTGTTAAAAGGATTCTTTCAGAAAAATGTGGATTCGGTCAAAAGGCCGCACTCATGGTTCAAAGGCCATAGGTGGCCCCAAGGCTGCACATTCCCCACCCCTGCAAGCGTTGCTGTGGAGATCAACAGAGTTAAACTTACCAAGATTACATGGTCATAAACACTCAGTAAATGTCAGTTAATGTTATATTATGGGAGCCTTAGGAACTGTATCTAATATAATTATAAGAAGGCAAGTTTTATCCCCCTTTTACCAAAGATAAAATGAGCCTAGATGTTAAGTTTCCTAAGCAAGCAGCAGAGTTGGGGTTTGGAGCCCGCGTGCTCGAATGCCCCGAGAGTGGATTTTGAGGAGAGTTTTACCATTGACTAGCAGGTTCTTTTGTTAAGTCTCCATTTTCTCTCCTGTGAAATGGTAATAATCATTTCTAACAGGATTCATTCATTGGACAACGGTTTGTTTCTTATCAGGCCTCGTGGTAGGTAGCATGGATGTAGCTGGAATTAGGTCTGGCATTTACAGTGTAGCCAAATTTGTGGAGAATAAAGTGAAAGAGCTTGTGCTAGAGACTTTAGCGCTCCAAATGCAAGAAATGGATAAGTAGAAGAAAGTGGGGGTATAGTAAAGATCTCAGAAAGAAAGGGATTGAGGGCAAGTGTAGTGGTTCAGATCTGCAGTACTAGCACTCTGGGAGGCCGGAGTGGGTTGTTCCCTTGAGCTGGGGAGTTCAAGACCAGCCTGTCTCTACTAAAAATAGAAAAATAAGGGAAGTGTGGTGACATGAACCTATAGTCCCAGCTACTTGGGAGGTTAAGGCAGGGGATCACTTGAGCCTATGAGTTTGAGGTTGCCTGCTGTGAGCTAGGCTGAGGCCATGATGCTCTAGCCCAGGTAATAGAGCTGGACTCTATTAAAAAAAAAAAAGAAAAGAAAAAGAAAGGCGATGCTCAAACATATGAGTATGAGAGTGACAAGGCCTCCTAGAAGATGTAAAGATTTTGGGTGGGAATAGGTATAAAAATTCATTAAGTAAATTGTTTTCCGTCTGGAACAACAGCTAAGTGTTAGAATTTTAAAATTTCACTTTATTTGAATACCCCTCAGTGGATCAGTAAAGTTGTCATTCGGTAGCAGTTGAGGTATAATAATGTAAGATTGTTAAAGGGAATGTTTAGCAGGTAGTATAATTATTTTTAGGAGAAATGAGATAAAAAAATATTTTTTTCTGGATGAATAGGTTAGCTTTTGAGAGAAATGAGACTCAAGGACAAACATGTTGTGTTTATGATTGTATGCTCTTGCTTCTTTCAGCACTTGCCTGATACCTTGTAGGTACTCAGTAAGTGTTGAATCGAAAAATGGAAGACTACTTAGCAGAGTACTTTGCTGGAATCTTGTTGACTGTAAGGTTTGTATGTGCTGATTCGTATGGTACAGTAATCTAATTGGGGAACAATCTCTGGTTTCTGATATGTAGCTGAGTAATGAAGTCAGAGTGATTTATGACTCTCCCTTTGGTAAGTTAAAGTGATACTAAATTGTGAAACTTTTCAAAGACCAGAGCAGAAAATAAATGTAGGGCACACAAAAAGGGATTTGAATGTGATACTTGTGTCATGCTGATTGCTTTCTTTTTAATCAGTAAACATCTGGATGATGATGAAAACTTGAAATTATTTGGGAAATGCAGCAATCCGAACGGCCATGGACACAATTACAAAGGTGAGATCCTCAGAATGCAGTTGCATGAGCTATAGACTGTAACAGTATGTGGCTGTCATTAAAAAAACCAGACAAGGTGTCAGATGATGAGGATTGCTGATTTAGTTACTGCCTCTTTCTTGATCTATGATATCTCTATCTCAGTGTACTCACTTACTGTGTAATACCTAATGGTATTTGTATAGAGCTAAGAAATTTATCAGTACGTAAAAGTTATTTGTAAAGCACTGATCATCAAGATTTTTCCGATGTTTCATATAAGCATTTGTTAATTTGCAAAGCTTTACTACATTTGTGTAAGTAAAGAGATAAGAGTTTAAGGCCCAGTGGTAGTTTTGCTTATTCAGAACAGTGCTGCCCAGTATGGGCCAGTTTGGTGTGTGGCTGGACACCTGCATGTGCATTTTCTGCTTTTACAGGAAGAGACTGAGTAGCTTCTCTGTCCTCCCAGTACATCGAGATCATAAGCAGGATTTATACCTGTTTTGGGCTTGGCTAAGTTTTTCTGCTTATTCAAAATTTCTAATAGGCTCCTTTGTCTTGGTTGAGTCTTGCTTTGGTATTGATAAAGATCTTAACATAAAGAAGCAATATTTTGGGAAAAAGATGCATATAGCTTTAGGAGTTAGGGATCTAATGATTTATGTTGCTAACTTGTCCTTGGATGTTAATCTGTTGAATGTCATGCTGTTTTTTTTTGTGTTTTGTTTTCTTTTCCATAGTTGTGGTGACAGTACATGGAGAGGTATGTGTGGAAAGTATTTGTGTGGTTTGTGCCAATTGCTGGGCCCCCTTTCAGCCACTGGTGGATTCTGTGTTGAAAATGTCTGCTCTAATCATTATTACTTGTCTGTTGGCCTTTGTGCATGTGGTAAGCTGCAACTATTCCAGGCTTCTCTTCTCCCCAAGTGTTGTCTTCCATGTGCTTTATGTGGACAGGTAAAAGAGCTGTACAATGAGAAGGGTGCTTGGAGCACACAGTGCTTTGTGCTAAGATCAGTGATTGTCTCTGGGATGAAGCAAATGTGGGCACTATCTCTGTACATTGAACTTCTTTTACTGAGTTGCCAGCGGTTTAAATATGGAGAAACTATTAGAGTAATAATTCACCTTTGTTTATTCTTTAGATTGATCCTGTTACAGGAATGGTTATGAATTTGACCGACCTCAAAAAATATATGGAGGTAATGGCTTGGTGCTTATCGTGTGCTGTCCCATAATTATAATATTTAGTAGCCTTCTTTTTCTACCTCCTGAACCAGTGATCTCCTGAGGTTCTATGACTTGTGATTACAGTTGGGTGTGGGAGAGGGGAGTAGTTGGAGGGACTATTCTCATGGCCTTTTGAAGGTGTTTAAACAACTTAATAGAAAACAGTCACAGTTGTATTATAGTGATGGGAAGAAATGAAGTGTGCTTACTTTGTATTCTCTGTTGGAATATCTTGATTTCCTTCATTTAACAAATTTTCCCCTTCTTTCAAGACACAGCTTTCTCTTTGAAGCTTTCTGTTCCTTCTCTAAATGGTCATTGTACTTTGATCATGGATTTTAACACTGTCTTGTCTTAGTCACCTGTGAAGGGGTTTTTGCACGAGGAAAGGAAAGTCTTGACTCAGAGTCTGTGTTGGGGGACTGAGGAGCTCAGGGAGGCGTCCTCTAGAGCAAACCTTGGGTTGTATCTATTATAAAACAGGAAGAAGTAGACAAAAGCTGCTCATCAGACATCAGCACTGATGGGAGGACATGGAGAAGATCAGACAGAAGGTCTTTACCTTGTTTTTCCAAAACCACTGAGCTTCAGCAATACCTTTGCCTCTAGCATCAAGAGACCTTGGGGATCTAGAGAATCTTTATTGCCATACCTCACATATACATTCTCTCTTGGAGGCCAATTTTCTGACCTGCACATACACAACTAACATGCCATCCATTCTCGTGACTCTGTAGATCTCTCAAGCAGTTAGCGAGCCTATATTTAAGGTCAGGTAATAATTATCCCTACAACCTGGCTGTATTATAAACTCACTGGGGCAGTTCATGGTAGAGATAACACGAAACAAGATGTTCATTAAAGAATTCAGGACTGCATCATTGTAAAATTCTGAACCTTGCATCTGCAGGCCTCCTATAAGGGGACCCCCACTTCTGTTAGCTCCTGGGGGACTCTGCCCAACACCCCCTGGGGAGTGGTGTCCGTTTGGTTCCAGGTCTAACATGGCCCATGAGTACAGTGCATGTTGGTGGCGCAGCCTAAAGTATTTCTTCACCCTATGTGAAGGCAGACATCATTATCTTGGCAGGAGCCTCCCAGCCTTGAGATGGCACCTGGGCTAGCCCTTCCTTGGGCTTCCTGGAAAGTTGAAGCACCCCCCCCCACACACACACACAAACACACCCAGTGACTTATCCTTGCCTTCCTGGGGTTGCCAGGGCCACATGTCCCATGAATTTGGCTCTTGATGACAGAATGATTCATTTGTTGGAAATGCCTCTTGGTGCCAGAGAAACTCCCCATGCATCTAGGCACAAAACTATTTAGTTCTATACGTTGACAACTTTTTTTTAAATCAACTTACTAGGTTGGAGCGCAATAATAGCTTCTGTTGATTTTTTTTTTTTTTTATGTCACTTTGTTGCCCTTGGTAGAGTGCCCTGGCATCACAGCTCATAGCAACCTTCAGCTCTTGGGCTTAGGCGATTCACTTGCCTCAGTCTCCCAAATAGCTGGGACTGTAGGCACCCGCCACAGCACCCACCTGTTTTTGTTGTTGTTGTTGTTGTTGCAGTTTGGCTGGAGCCAGGTTTGAACCTGTGATCCTCCATATATGGGGCCAGTGCCCTACTCAGTGAGCCACAGGTGCCGCCCGCTACTGCTGATTTTAATAGTTGAATCAAGTGTGTGTTAAACACATAACGTTAAGCTTTATGAGGAAAAGGATTGTAAAGAAGAGAAGTAGTGCACATGACTTCCCTTTATGTTAGATGGGCAAAAGTTCTCCAGTGTTGTTCTGTAAATGCTTGTGGCCTGAGTGCTAAGATTATAGGCATGAGCCACCAGGTCTAGCCTGTACTTACCAATATTGAATTGGTAGCTAAATGATAGGGTAAAAATTAGAGGCATAGTTGGAAAAATTTGGAATTTGAGTCACAAGTGGAATCAATTGTTTTTTGCTTTGTTTTCTCTCTAGGAGGCAATCATGAAGCCTCTTGATCATAAGAATCTGGATTTGGATGTGCCGTACTTTGCAGATGTCGTAAGGTAGGCGTTACTGTCTTGCCTCATAGAGATATCAAAAGAACAATTGATTGGAACGCTTTATCTCGTTGCTGTGTGATTTCTGAAGTTTTAGTTTAATGGTATCTTTCAGAACTAGAATTTACATTCTAAATATTAAATGTGAAGTTGTGTTTATTATTTGCATTTTGAACTTGTTTCTTTCCTTTTGTTTCTACAGCACAACTGAAAATGTAGCTGTGTGTATCTGGGAGAACCTGCAGAAAGTAATTCCTGTGGGAGTGCTTTATAAAGTAAAAGTGTATGAAACTGACAATAATATAGTGGTCTACAAAGGAGAATAGGTCTTAGGATTTGACACTGTAGAAAGACCAATTCAGTTTCTTTCCATTTTACGAAGATCCTTATCCCCTTGGAATATTAAGCAGTTACCACATAATTGTTATTCCTTTGCTTTGTGCTCCAGAGTGCCTGATTTACTGAAATTTAAGACCTGTTAAATCTATTTTAAAACAAAACTTTTAATATATCCTCGATATCATTTAGAGAGTCTCTTATATGTAGATTGAAAATCCCTTCATTTTTGTGAAATGTTTTGATGTGTAATTATTTGAAAGCAAAAGAAATCTAGTTGTCGTTTTCTCTGTTATTCCTTTTTTTGCATGTAATATAAATGGTAAAAATGTTTTATAACTTAGAGTGGGCGAATCTTATAAAAAATAAAATTCAGGTGACCACAGAGTCTGGAGACAATATGTATATTTTTAATAGATTAAACTTCCTTAATTACTTCTTTTCAGGTGTACTAAATGCACAAATTCAGTGAAAATCAGATACACAAATCAGCGGTGGCAGTGCATTGCAGATGCGTGTGCATAGATGGATGGAAATGCTACTTTAAAGCACACTGTTCATTGCAGTTTTTCACAGCTTATCGAACTATGAATTGCTAGTGAGGAACAGTAGATTAAACGTATTATGGGGAGTATATACATAATAAGTTATTATGTGTATGTTTGGGTTTCTAGACCTATGAGCAGCGAAATAATTATAACTTAGAAGGCTGTCAAATAATTACATATTTTAAAACCTATTAAAATAGCATAAAAAGAATGTACTACTTTGTAAAGAATTTCCTGCTTACAGTTTTTCCTCATTGATCCCATTTTGTTCTGAGCACTAAGCTTCCCTTCCTAAGTTGAACTATGCCCTTGGCATTTGTCTCTAGGATAACTAAATCCACAAGAATGTATTTGCTTGCTTTCCACAAAGAACTGTTCTCCCATGTTCTATTTGTATTCTAAATACTTAAGTGCAGGGTTTTAATTTTTTCTCCACTTAGCAAGTGATAATACGTAAATTTCTTAGAACATTGTTGCCTGAAAAGAATAGGACTTACACAGTGTTTACTGTTCTAGAAAAATTTCAAAGAAAGTCTTGTTTTGGGGAGTTAATTTCAGCAGTAATACAATGTCCACTCCAGTACATTTAATGTATTTTAGTTGTCAAACATAATTTTTATATTGTCTATATAGAATATTTTGTATTGAAAGATAGTAGCATTTATTCAGGCAATTTATGTTTTTATTCTTGCAAATACCATATAGGGTAGGTATTACTCTCTTGAAGTTGATAGAGTCTAAGCTACGGCAAATAAATTGCAAACTGAGTGTTTAATACTCAGGGTCTTTCTCACTCCCAAAGAGACTCTTCAAAAGGGGCAATGTATATATGTTACCAGATTTTTGGAAAGGTGCAGAATTTTGCAGATCTAATAGCATATTAGAAAAATGGTATTTTTTTAAAATAACATTGACATTCTAGGAGTTTTATTGTTTAAGAGTTGCTTCAAGAGAATCTTTGCTTCTGCTTGGCTAGCCTTAGAAAAGTAAAAAAATTTTTTTCTCTCTCCTTCTCTCCTCCAGCAAATGAGTGAGTGAATGAGTGAGTAGATGAGAGATTGATTGGAAGGACCAAAGATGCAAAGAGACTTCTTAACTTTCCCTAGATTCTGCTATCACCGACCATATCGAGCTACTTTGTACTTGTTCCTTTACCTGTTTGGCTTTTTTCATTACCCTGAATTCCTTATGGGCAAAGTCTTTATTCTAATCAGAATATCTGCTAGATAGTACTTAATACTTTTTTGTTAGGTAAATGAGTGACGTATTGGTGGAACCTGCTGAAGTTTTATAGTGGCTTCTGTACATATGGGTACTTGGTAAATATTTTTAGAATTGAATGACCTGAAAGTTTTGAGGCTTAAATTCTAGCCCTCGTGCTGTTACTATTCAGTTGAGTCACATTCATCTCTGGACTTCAGTTTCTTAACATGTAAAATGAATCCTTAGACTAGATGCTTTCTGAAGTTACTTCTACTTTCTTTTTAATATCTAGATGATTTTAAATACCAAGTGAATGAATATTACTAATTTAGGGAAGGAAATAGATCATTGTGGGGTGGTGAGATTTGGAAACAGTTAGTGGAGGAGGTTAAGTCTTGAGTAGTACTTAAAGTGATGTAGAGAGACTGGTGGTTTGGAATTCAGGAGAAAAGAGGGAATGAGTATTGAAAGGGTAAAATTTCACAAGGGAGGTTAGTAGGGTGAGAATATACCAAATATAACAGGGATTAGTGGATAGATTAATCTTAGAGTAGTTGTGAGGTTGAGAGTGAAATGGAAAATGAACTTGGAAGTAGAGGATGGGGGCAGTGTGGAGGGCTTTGAGTGTCAATTTGGTGTTTATCCTTTAAGGAATAGGGAGCTATTTATTTTTAAAGAAGTAACCCAGTTGGACTAAGGGAAGCAAGGAAAGTAGTTGTAGAGCTGAGGCAGGAATCTAGACATGGAGGGCTGGGCTGTGATGGTGGCAGTGGAACTAGACAGGGTAAGGGAAGTATTGTGCAGTGCCTACTGTAGTGTGGAGGGGACCTGCAGGGACAGAGGAAACTGTCAGGTGTTTTAGTAAATGCTTCTTATATTGCCTCATTTCATCCTCATAACCACCCTGCTGGGTGAGTGTATTAGTTATCTACTGCTGCTTAACCGATTACCTCAAAACAGTGTAGCTTAAAACAGCACACATTTATTATCTCAGCTTTGTGGGCCAGAAAGCCTGGAGTGGCTTAGCGGGACCCCTGGCTCAGGGTCCCATGTTTTAAAACCTGCAATCATCTCAAGGCTTGACAAGGAGGAACCCACTTCCCATCTCACACACACGATTGGTGACAGGAGTCAGTTCCTCAGGGGGTGACTGGACTGAGGCATCAGTTCTGTTTCTTGCCTTGTAGGCCTTTTCATAGGGCATCACCCAGCACGACAGCTTGCTTCATCAGAGTGACAGGTAAGAGGTCCAGGGAGAGCACCCCCAAGATGAAAGGCTCAGTCATTTGTAACTGAATCACTTTTTTCTGTATTTTGTTCCTTAGAAGCAAGTCACTAGGTCCAGCCCACACTCTAGGGGAGAGGATTACACATACATTGCTAGTGTGTCAGGTGTGATGTGAAGACATCCAGAGATGAGGCTGGAAAGGTAAGCAGGGAATATATATCATGCCTCCCCGTCCCCCCCCCCCCCCCAGTTTTTTTTTTAACTCTTTTGGTCTTTACTGCTCAAGTATTATGTCCTTTTGGGCTAGGGGAGCAAAGCACATTTCCTTTTCAGGAGTGAAATACCAGAGTAGCAGTGGTTGTTTACAGTGGGAATTGTACAGTTTGTAGGTAGAGAAGCAAAAAAGTCTTGGAAGTACAACTCTTGAAGTTAAAACCAACTGTAAGATAACAAGTTAAGAAAAAATAGAATCACCGTATCTCTGAACACAATGACCAGAGCTCAGCTGTCATTTGTACTGCCTTAACTGATGTAGTAACCACCAGTGGCCTATAAAAATAGGGAGAATACTTTGATCAGTTGTATACTTGTGGCCATAAATATGCTACACCTATGATAAGTGATCTGTTTGGGTTTTTAAACTTCAAACATTTAAATTCCTCCTAGAACTGAAATTATCTGAAAGATGGGAAACAGATTGTGTTCATTTTCCTTTTGTTAGGTTTGGGATATTTCTTGCCTCCCTTGCACATAGAAAAATCATTGTTAGTTTCACACAATTTAACTTTATAGCAAGTGTCTGCTGCAAAATCCTTTTGGAAAATGTCCCAGATAAACACTGTTAAAGTCTCTACATAGCTGCAAAGAGAACTGCTCTACCACAGCAGAAAAGTAGTGGAAGGTGGTTTTTGCACTGGAAGATTTTCAGAGCAGCAGTTCTGTTTTCAGTTGGTTTGTATCCTTCAAAAATCCAGCCCTCCACTAAGTGTTCTGCAACTGTTGAGACAGAAGAACTAAAGATTCACTCCCCCCCACCAAAATGACACCCCCAGCTTGTAAAGCTTATATTTTTAAGATGCCCAAGAAATAAATCCTCAGAACTTAAACCCAACTTCACCCTCATCAAGCCAGTTTATTCAGTGAAATTTTTCAATTTAATATCCTGATAAGTTTGAACCAAGTTTTTAAACACTTTTTACTTTTCATAAGTACCTTAATAGATGTGAGTACTGTAGCTGGAACAATCTGAAGAAATACCAGGGTTAGGGTTGTCATTCCTATTATTTTTATTTTGGGTATCTCAAATTTAACATTTCCAAATAATGAATTTCTTATTTCTCCTTCAAAGCCTGCCCCGCTACCAGTCTTTCTTAAAAGTGCTACCACCATCCATTTTTTTCCAAGCCAGAAATCTGGGAGTTATCCTTGATGTCCCCCCACATTGTATGTCTAATCTGTCTGATAGTTGAATTGGCTCTACATCCAAAATATATAATGATTGATTATTTTTGTCTGTCTCTCAATTTCTGATGGTACCAATCTAGCCCAGGCCACCATCATTTCTTGTCTGGATTTCAGACACGGCCTATTAAGTGGTCTCTGGCTCTTACTTTGGTTTTTTCCCCCACAATTCTGTTGATCTTATAAAAGAGTAAATCTTGTCTCTCCTGCTCCATTGCTCCTGAAAACTTAACTCCTGCTTTTTAAAGGGAGTAGCAGTGGCCAGAGGCACAGATTTAACAGGCTATAGGAGGAGACATGAATATTCATGAAGAGAAACCTACCTGTGTGTTCAGGTTTCTACCTCCCATCCCATCATGACTTTTTTGCTTAGGTCCCCTTGGCTGAGAGGGGTCCATTCATTTAGCAGGGGGTGTAGGATTTTAGTTTTAATTCACAAATACCAGGCTTTCTGAGCATACTTCAGGTAGGTGTTATTCCTTATGCACTCCCGTTTAGAGACCAACACAACATAAAATCCCCTAAGTATTTCTCAGAATCTGTTTATCTGGCTAACTTTTATCTTGGGAATTTTACATTTTGATTTTTGAATAAAATTTATTTTAATTTTCAGCTACTAATGTGGGTAAAGATAATGTAGAGCTCTGAATCAAATCTCTTATAGTAAATCTCTCTGTCCTCCTGAACACATTACGAGCAGTTAACAGTCCTAACTCAGAGGCTCACTGTTGAGAGAATAGGTTTGTCCCTAGCAGAGGAAGCCTCAGCTGATCTTGCAAAGGATGCTTTTTATCATTTTGTTTGGCCCTGAGAGCAGGTACATTGTGGAAAGTGGCATAATTGAGCTTATCTGTGGTAATGCTGAGGTAATAGTGTTTTCCAACAAATAAGGCCCAGACATATTGTTG